TTTAGAATTGTGCAATCGGCAATTTGGGTCCAAGCATTGAGTTGCACTTAATTATTTCCAAATGATTTAAGAAGCTATTTCGGGTTTGGAAATGTGCAATTGGCAATTTATTGCCTTACCAGAGAAAACAAAAAAAATAAAAAAACGACATAAGATTTTTTAAGGGTCACAAAATGAACATTTTTTATGGCAATTTATGTTGTCACGGGGATGGCAATTTCCTTTAGGGAGTACAACAAATCTTGATAAAAAAACTAAACATGACGGATTTGTCATTGCTTGCTAAAGGAAATTGTCATCCTCGCGACAACATAACTTGTCGTAAAAAAATCATTTTGTCATGCTTAAAAATTTGATCAAATCGTTATCAAGGTCTTGGCAAGCCAACAAGAGATTTGATAGTTAATGCAGTTTTAATGAAAAAACAATGAGAAAGAATGGAGATGGAAGAAAAAATCAAAATGAAGAAAAGGATGAGGGGCATACATAAAGTTGACCGGGGACGAGCGCGCAGCTAACTTGAAGTTATAGTTTAGAAAAAGTATATATAGGAGAGAGAGAGAGACAGAGGAAAGATAATATTTACTTTTTTTGGGTTCAATATCGGTCTTGTGGCACTTGTTGATTGGGGTTCACATTGGCCCTAAGTGCCGCAGGTCGCAAGAGAATTAGGCTTGAGGCATACAATTAATCAACTGTGTTTTCATCTAGAAGCTAGAATTCCCTTTGGTTCCATTTTTTTATTTTACACTGACATGTGTGAATCACAAATAGTTTTTTACATTTTGTCTAAACCAATTCATATTCGACATCAAAGGGCACTTTTTGTCGGCACCTGAATTATAACTCTTTTTTTTAAGGGCTGAATTATAACTCTTGCTGGGAGAAACATCTGGGGAATGCCTATCGATCAGTTGACTGATTTTCGTTTAGTGTAAGTCAAATTTTTGCCCAGTTAGAACGTGAAAAGTGTGCACCTAGCTTTGTCTTTCAATCTTGCCAGAATTCAACTGATTTCTACCTGTGTAATCACTGATGATAGCTCCAAGAGCCCAGTGTAATATGCATCCTTCAAAATTACACTTCGCTTCTTGATGAGAAGAAACATATCAAATTCTTAACTAGTTACTGAGAGGGAACATGACTGAACAATCGCAACTAAGGAAAGAGAGAGGAAAGAAAAACTAAGTGGAACATACACGAACCAAAGACACCACAACAATGGAGGTCTATAAAACTGCGGTTTTGAACTAAGGTTGAACTAATCTTAGTTCAAAACTGTGACACTTATTTTGGATCGGAGGGAGGAACATAAACAATGAACTGAACTTGAAGAAGCTTTGCTTTACAGCGAGCTTTAGCTGTAACATGACTAAAGCTGATCGACTAGATGAATCATGGCTGAAATTGATCGTCTAGAAACAAATGCATTTAAGTCTTATTAGAGAGCTCTAAGTGTAACATGAATGAAACTGATCGACTAGATGTAACATAACTGAAACTGACTGACTAGAAGTAACATGACTGACTGAATGAAATATAAGCAATGGCATGATGATTAACACTAATCTAGCTGAGCAAAGGGATGTGCAATCTCAAAACAGAGGAACAGAATAATGAATTTCAATGAAAACTTAATACTGATACACAACAGAGTAAAAGAAAGAAGAGGACTAGAGAAGAATAAAGAAATGAATAAGAAAATACTAATCTGATAAACTGATGAAGAAACTACAGAGATTGATAAACTAAACAATTGAAATGACGAGGAGCTAAGAAACTGATAAAATTGAAGAAGAAAGCTAAAACTGAGAAAAATGAAGAAACTGAGAAGAATATGAAACTGATCAACTGATAACTTGAAAAGAAACTGAAGAAGACTAAATGATTTAACTGACAAACACATAAATGAAGAAAGACTAAGGCTTGTGTCTGGTCATATATGATACCTAGACTGAAACATGGCAAAACATCGTGTCTGAAGCCTTGGGCAACTAGTGCTGACTATCTACAGGGCATCGAAATCGATGCCAAGAGTTTCATCATCATGAAAATCAGATGAGCATGAGCAACCCTATCTCCAGATTAGTCTACATCATGAATTTCAACCATCCAGACTTGGAAGTACATTTGGCCATGCTTCGCAGTGGAGTACTTCATGCTGATGCAGTGATCTCCACTCATCACCAACGTGGCTGGACTGTTCCTGCAGATGTCTATGTGTCAAAAATGGACATAGAAAAGACATTAATAGAAAAAAAATCAATGAAGATAGAATGATATATTGTTAAGGTGGTGCCTTACCCACGGATCGGGACCACAAATAGCAGCTTTGCATCAGGACTGACATAGAAACCACCCTGTACATCCCAGCCTTGTCCTGCTCACAACAACCACATTAGCAGATGTTATATTTAGAAAGGTATGAGCACTTTACTTCAATCAGAATTATTTAATGATAATGATTCCATCAGCAGTAACAACCAAATCATCCCAATGATCAGCTCAAGATAGACAAGAGCTATGTGCTTGTGGTACAGAAATTGGACTACAACAGACGCTACCTGGTGGAGGAAGGGTACCAACCCAAACTGAATCAAAAGGCTAAGCAAAAACTTCTTGACTGTTTTAGGGCTTGCTTGCACTCCGATTTTTTAGTGTGATCTGATTGGGATTGGTTGGGTTGGCTGCTGCTGCTAATGGCTCTTGGCATTTGAATGCAGACAGTTTTTTTATATGAATGCAGATAGCTAGCTAGTTTGTTTTTTCATTTACTCTGGACGAAGCTGATAACTTGCAGTTTGCTCCCAGTTTGCACTGGATACTGAAACCCAAAGAAATGAGCAAAAAAAAAAGCGCCATCACTTCCAACCCCCAAACAACACAAATGTTGACACAAACCCTTGATCTGAAAAAATCATTGAACTATAGCTCATTAATTCCATGACAAATCGAAACGAAATCATATGTGGGAGACAGAAAAAAAAAAGCTAAATCGAATCACAACAAAAGGAGGACAGACCCTACCCGGGGGGAGGGGATGAATCAAGGAGCAGAGCTAAAATTCAAAACCAGTGGAATAGTGGGAGACCCTCCCTTGCAGGTCAACGGAGGACTGCTGGGGGAGGGAGAGGAGGGGGCAGTGTAATTCACAACAATAGGGGCTGTGCTGAAGAGGTACAAGTCAGGATTGATCAGGGTAAGCAAGGGTCCCTATTTCAGGGATTTAGAAGGTTGATATTCAACTCAGACTAGCACTATAAGGTCAAGGTTTTATTTTATTTTGTTTTGTTTCAGGAGTTAAGTAACCATTAACCGTGTGGTATGCTAGCCTGGCCTTTGCATGCAGAATTTTGGCGGTACTGATTGGTGTTTCTCATAGAGTATCTGAATGAAATATTACATCCATTTGTTGTGAACTCTCTAGATTGGCGTCTTGCCCATTTTTTGATTTGCTGTTCTGTTTCTGCCAAGAGATGGTTCTTACACTTTAGTAAGTTACAACAGGAAGATCTTTTTGGATAACTAAAATTTAGATACCTTTCTCCTCTATTGACTTGGCATTTCATTTGTATTTGTTGGTACCTGCTGCTTCTTTGCTCTCAATTTTTTGACCACTTGATCCACTTTCGATTCCTTTCTCTTTGAAGGAGGACAACCTACACTGCGAATAGGGATTGGACTGAGTACAATTTTTTCCTTTTTTTCTTTTTCATTGTATCTTCATGCTTTGAAGTTGGATCCTTCTCTTAAACTTCCTACCTAGCACAGTACGCGTCAATCTTACTTTGTAATTCATTAAGGCCATCCATCACCAAGTCATGCAATGCATCAGACTCTGCACCATTCTCTGCCAGTTCGTGGGAACGCTTGCACAAATTATCATAACGCTGCACAACTTGTGTATCAATCATATCATCATAGGAGCATCTAATAAATGTGTGTTTGCGCTTAATATCCTTTCTCCATCGCTGCAATATATACCTAGAAGGTACATCTGTGATCTCCATGAGAGCAAGCACGGAAATGATGTGGCTACACAAGATGCCTCGAAATTCAAAGAGCCTACACATACACTGCACATCACATTCCCCTTGGTTGAACAAGACAATGAACTCTAAAATAACCCTTTTCTCTTTTCCTTTGCCATCCTCCCCTTCACAAAAAATCTTGCTGTCCTCTCTGACTCCAAATGTAAAAATTGATCCTTCTTTGTTCAGCTGAGTTGGATAGCAATAGATTTTACCTCTTAATTGATCTTGAAACTCTTTAAACTTTGCAGTAGTATATGCTGCTTGAAATTGTCTCTCAAAGTCATAGTGAGTAATGCATGGAATTTGCTGTTGGAATGACTTAGAATCAGCCTTGTTTTCTTTCTCTACCTTGTCTCTTAGTAAATTTTCATACTGCTCCACAAATTGCTTCAGAGTTGTTCTAGCATTGACATAGCCATCAAAGAAAGCATTTACACTCTCACTCCTTTTTGTTGAAGACATTCCTGCCCAGAAAGTATCTTTTACATATGCTGGTACCCATCGATTTTTATTATCATATAATCCAGCAAGCCATTCATTCTCCTGAAGATCATATTTATTGATCATCTCCACCCAAGCTTTGTCAAAACCATGTTTGGTCAAGGAATCATACACCACATTTGACAATGTAGATTTAATGTTTTCATACCCATTAAGGTTTTCAGGAATCTTCTTCATGATATGACATGCACACCATCTATGACGAGCTTGAGGGAAAACTTCTTCAATAGCATTCTGCATTGGTTTGCATTGGTCGGTGATTATAGCATTTGGTGGTTTGCATGACATACAGCATAGCCAAGATTTAAACAGCCAAACAAAAGTCTCGGTGTCTTCATTGGACAGAAGACCACAACCTAATAGAACAGATTCTCCATGATGATTTATGCCAACAAAAGTAGCGAGCGGTATTGTATACTTGTTTGTTAGGTATGTAGTATCAAATGTGATGACATCCCAATAAGACTCGTATGCAGCCCTACTTCTTGCATCTGCCCAAAAGACATTTCTCAGTCGTCCATCCTCGGCCACATCCATAACATGGAAAAAAGCTGGATCTTTTGACTGCATATGGAGAAAATACTGATAAAGGGCATGTGCATCTCCAGCACCAAGTTTCAGGCTTCTTTTCTCTTGCAAATAGTTAGTGCATTCCTTTTCACCAAACTCAAGATTTCCATACCAGCCAGCTTCCATAACAGGAGAACCAAAATTCTTGTTCATACGTGCTCCTGCTTGATCATTCAATTCTAGCCTTCTCTTGGAATGCAAGTCCACTTTCTTATGACATCTCAGAAATCTGGCTTTGCTTGGACTTATAGGATGATTGTGGTCAAGCGTAACAGTCGTGATACAAAAGTTTTCCCCACGACGAGAGAAATTACTTTTAGCTGGGCATTGCATCCTTGTCGACGGATTAGGCTTGAATGAGTTCTTTGCTGAGTACTGAGCCTTCCCTTGTCTGTTACAAGCAAGCGTGAAATAAGTAAGCATTTTGTCTTCTCCGTGTCTGGTCGTCCTTCTTATGACACCAAAGCCCTTTTTTCTGGCATAAGCTTTGTAGAACCTGACAGCATCATCCTCGCTGCTGAACATCATCCCCTTCTTGGGTTCCAACGCCACGGTCGGCTCTGCCTGTCGGTCATCTGAAGAATCCCCAATCTCCTCGACGACGAAAGCATCTTCATCCTCTTCGTCAGGTGCTGATCTGTTCTGTTCTGCTACTTCATCCAAAGTTAGATCAGGCTCCATCAAGTACCTAAATTTGCCAACAAAAAGATCAGTAGGGGATACATTTTTCTCTAAATTGTAACATGGCTGCACAAACATAAAGGCGCCCTAGGTTGAGCAGGAGCCATCTAGAGGAGAGGATCAGAGGAGATGAGAAAAGGAAACTGAGCTGTGAGCTACGGTTCGGTACTAGGCACTGGAGTTGAGGAGTTAGAGGCCGAGCGCATACCTTGGTGCTGCTGCTGCCGCTACCGCCTGCGAAGTGACGAGCTCAGCCGGCGAGCTGCCGCCGGGGAACGGGCTGCTACTGGCTGTTGCGTGCCTGTGTGAGAGGGGCTGAGGGGGAGCCGGGCAGTCTGTGAGGAACTGCTGGAATTCGGTGCCGGCCTGCCGCCGCCGCCGGTGTGAACCAGGTCGGGATCGAGAGGAAGGATCGATTCAGGGGATCATCGGGGCCGGGCTAGGGTTAGGTCATTAGCTGGGCTGGACCGTATCGCAAACGGACTGAGATCCAGTGCCTTTATCAAGTGAAGTCACGCTGCAACTTTACCCTTCTAATCTCCATCCAATTCACATCCTACGGTCCAGATCACAAAAGGGGAAAGGCTTTCAACACTTAGCAGTTTTCAGCATAGCAGCAAACATCAATACAGACTAGCTGCAAACAACGATGCAGTGGCACTTGAACTCAGTTTTATTTGAACAGATTGAAACCCAAAAATTAAAGAACTGCAGATACTCATGAGCAGACTATAAAACAAAATATGGTATTGTGACAGTGTGTATCCGCAGTTCTTTATTTTTTGGGTTTCAACACCAGACCAAATTTTGTTTTATAGTCTGCTCATGAGTATCTGCAGTTCTTTATTTTTTGGGTTTCAACATCAGACCAAATTTTGTTTTATAGTTTGCTCATGAGTATTTACAGTTCTTTATTTTTTGGGTTTCAATCTGTTCAAATAAAACTGAGTTCAAGTGTCACTGCATCGTTGTTTGCACCTAGTTTGTATTGATGTTTGCTGCTATGCTGAAAACTGCTAAGTGTTGAGAGCCTTTCCCCTTGTGTGATCTGGACAGTAGGATGTGGATTGGATGGAGATTAGAAGGGTAAAGTTGCAGCGTGACTTCACTTGATAAAGGCATTGGATCTCAGTCCATCGCAAACGTACCGGGGGAGGTATCCCAGCACGTCTCGAGGGGGGGAAGAATTTTTTTATTGGATTGTTTATGAATACACGTTTATACGGGAGCGTATTATCTATACTCCTTAAAAAAGCGAGTTGGTGATGATGATATGCCTGTCTTCGGGCCATATGTACCATTCGATCTTGAATCTAAGGTTAAGATTGAGATGAGACACGTTGGACGGAGCCAACCACCAAAACAAGATAGTCTGAAAGTTTCTCCTTCTCTCGTGAGACAGATTATTCTAGAACCCCTCCAAGTTTCCTCGCCGCGGCCCCTCTCCTCTATTTCCCCGTTACCACTGGAGTTGAGTTGGGCGAGGGTCACGTCTGTTGTATCTATATCTATATCTATATCACTATATAGTGTGTGAATAAGTTTAAATATGGATCATTGGATGAACTTAATATGATAATCAAGAGGTGGCAAGTCCAAGCATTGCTGGGCCATTCGATTTCCTATCAATTACATCAGATTCTGCCATGTGTACTATGTAGAAATTTCCAATAGTTAAAAACTTAGTACACCCTTGTATTTTTCACATATACTATCTTTACACACTTCTCATTTATTCTAGAACCTTCCATGCATGATCTTGCTCCGTTAGAGTTTCTCGCCTGAATAGAAGTGTATCCATTTATGATTTAGTCTAGAATCTTTCATGTATGCCCTTGCTCCATTAGAGTTCTCGCTTGAATAAAAGTGTATCCATTTATGATTTAGTCTAGAATCTTTTATGTATGCTCTTGTTTCGTTAGAGTTTTCGCTTGAATAAAGTGTATACATTTATGAGATTATTTGTGAATTTTACTCATGGTGAAAGACTCCTGATTAACCATTTCTTACATTCCATATATCTTTTCAGAGAATTTCAGCCAAATGTCATAACACTATCTTTAACCTTAAGGTCCATACATATAATGTGTTATATTAGTGTATTGGAACACAATGCAGCTAAGGTTTTTCTTTTCAATGATGTAATATGCAAGTGTCAGTTGCAACGATATCTCACAACTCACGTGCAAAGCACGTGCAACTCACTAGTCTCATATTAATTCGTAGGGATGTAAGTGGGTGCATCTATGACCAGATGTTCTTTTTTTCGAAAGATTGGCTCTATTGTTAAAGTTCACCCGAAATATAAATCATCTCAAACATAATAAACATTACATTGGCATTTCAAGACCACTGAACCACCAATATTGCCGCCAGAACGAGCTGTCGACGCGCCGCTATCGCCGGTCCTCTACTGGAGCCGGCTTTGATGGGGAACGTTGCAGAAAACAAAAAATTTCCTACGGTTTCACCAAGATCCATCTAGGAGTTCATCTAGCAACGAGTGATCGGATTGCATCTACATACCTTTGTAGATCACGCGCGGAAGCATTCAAAGAACGGGAATGAGGAAGGCGTACTCGACGTGATCCAAATCACCGGAGATCCTAGCGCCGAACGGACGGCACCTCCGCGTTCAACACACGTACGGTCAGCGTAACGTCTCCTCCTTCTTGATCCAGCAAGGGGGAGAAGAGGTTGAGGAAGATGGCTCCAGCAGCAGCACGACGGCGTGGTGGTGATGGAGCTGCAGTACTCCGGCAGGGCTTCGCCAAGCTCTATGGAGGAGGAGGATGTGTTGGAGAGGGAGAGGGAGACACCAAAGGCGTGGTGTGAGAGGCCCTCCTTCCCCCACTATATATTGGGAGCCTAGGGGGGCGCCGGCCCTAGGAGATGCAATCTCCTAGGGGGGCGGCGGCCAAGGGAGGAATCCCTCCTCCCCAAGGCACCTAGGAGGTGCCTTCCCCCTTTAGGACTCTTCCTTTCTTGATCTCCTAGCGCATGGGCCTCTTGGGGCTGGTGCCCTTGGCGCATATAGGCCAAGGCCCACACCCCTACAGCCCATGTGGCCCCCGGGGCAGGTGGCCCCACCCGGTGGACCCCCGGGACCCTTCCGGTGGTCCCGGTACAATACCGGTGACCCCGAATCTTGTCCCGACGGCCGAAACAACACTTCCTATATATAATTCTTTACCTCTGGACCATTCCGGAACTTCTCGTGACGCCCGGGATCTCATCCGGGACTCCAAACAACATTCGGGTTACTGCATATACATATCCCTACAACCCTAGCGTCACCGAACCTTAAGTGTGTAGACCCTACGGGTTCAGGAGACATGTAGACATGACCGAGATCGCTCTCCGGTCAATAACCAACAGCGGGATCTGGATACCCATGTTGGCTCCCACATGCTCCTCGATGATCTCATCGGATGAACCATGATGTCGAGGATTCAAGCAACCCCGTATACAATTCCCTTTGTCAATCGGTATGTTACTTGCCCGAGATTCGATCGTCGGTATCCCAATACCTCGTTCAATCTCGTTACCGGCAAGTCACTTTACTCGTACCATAATGCATGATCCCGTGACCAGACACTTGGTCACTTTGAGCTCATATTGATGATGCATTACCGAGTGGGCCCAGTGATACCTCTCCGTCATACGGAGTGACAAATCCCAGTCTCGATCCGTGTCAACCCAACCGACACTTTCGGAGATACCCGTAGTATACCTTTATAGTCACCCAGTTATGTTGTGACGTTTGGTACACCCAAAGCACTCCTACGGTATCCGGGAGTTACACGATCTCATGGTCTAAGGAAAGGATACTTGACATTGGAAAAACTCTAGCAAACGAACTATACGATCTTATGCTATGTTTAGGATTGGGTCTTGTCCATCACATCATTCTCCTAACGATGTGATCTCGTTATCAATGACATCCAATGTCCATAGTCAGGAAACCATGACTATCTGTTGATCAACGAGCTAGTCAACTAGAGGCTTACTAGGGATATGTTGGTGTCTATTATTCACACATGTATTACGATTTCCGGATAACACAATTATAGCATGAATAAAGACAATTATCATGAACAAGGAAATATAATAAGAATGCTTTTATTATTGCCTCTAGAGCATATTTCCAACAGGCTTGACCTTGTCGATGACAGCTGGAAAATTTTAGTGCGCGTGCCCCTAAGGACCAATGCTATGGAACCGCAGTTGTTGTCGTTGAACCCTTGCATAGATCTGAAGCACCTGATACCCAATCTCACCACATGATGAAAAACCCTAACCTCACCGCCCGATTTAGACGACATGGATCTACGCCCCGAAGCTAATCAATGTTGTTTAAAAACACACCCAATTCATAAGTTGAAGGATATATCGGTGTTTTCTATGTAGTGTGAGGTCGACAGAAACATGAGTGTAAGGCCAACAAAGTCCGAAACACGTATATAGATTGGATCCAATCAATGCAAAAGATAAGTCAAGTATTACAATACGTTGATCGGACGAACAATGTCATGTGAAGCAATTTCAGTCCTCATAATACAAAAGTGAGTGGGTTTTTTGTGGCACATTATGAACGGGGTGCCTCCTTGGCGGCGGCGGCTGGCAAGATGCAGCATGCGCGCAACCCCCTTCAGGCCAAGATGATCCCGAAGCCATTGATGATGCATCTGATTTGGGAGGAGGTTAAAACAGCACATTATGTTTTAGTTAGTCTGCTCGACCATGGTGACGACACTAAAAGGGCGAGGCTATGATGTTACGGAGCTTGGCGTCTTCTTCAGGGAAGCAAAGAGCTCGTACCTTTTTTTAATTTCTAATTTTCTGTAGTGTCATCGGGACTGTGATAAGGTGGCGCAAGCTTTGCACAGTATGCTTTAGGCGCTACGGAGCCCTTATCCGTGTGGGTGACCGATGCCCCGGACTTTGTTTGAGGTTTGGTGACTATCGATATGGTGCACCATGGTTTAAGTGGAGTCTAT